CACACACACACACACACGACCACCCTGCCATTGCTAACTTGTGTTTGCCATTTTCCCAGAAACACCCCACATTGTCTAACCCCCCCAGCGCCATCTGCTGGGGTTGAAAGGTTTTTAATTTTCAATCCAAACGCCTCTCATTGGCTCCTAATGTGGCAGCACAGTGTAGCCATAACACGCAGGGATGTTTGTAATGTTTGTGTGGCCGGGGTGTTAAATGCTACCTGTCCCTGTTAAGCCTGTCTGGCCATGCAGATTGCCTCCACTCACAGGCATTAGGCACAACTGGAATAGTTCTCATCTGCTATGGGGAGCATGGTCGGGTCTGATAATAAGGTCTTGATAGAGGGCATTAACTTGATGGCTTCTGCAGCCTGATATACCAACAGACCGTGGGCAAGGGCAGAGACTCAGGGAGAGACAGAGAGCCAGAGACAGCAGACAGTAGTCGCGCGTCAATTCACATATCAGTCATCCATTTGTGAAATAAACACGTTGAATTGATTTACTTGCAAATCTGGATCGAATTTCTAAAGGAGCTTTGTCAGGTTTGACTATGTCCGGTAAGGTGTGATTGAAGTTGACATGCATACAAAATCAAAATGATATTGTTTGTCGGTGCCAGTTAAAAAAAAAAAAGAAAAGCACAAGGCAGAGCAGTTGATCATTAGCAACTACAACTCCAGAAATGTTGACAGGCTACTCTTGCATATAGTTTCAAAAACTCCCTTGCTTAATGATGTGTGAAGATGATGTCATTAAACATTAAAAACATTAAACATTAAAACCTCTGCTATAAGTACTATACATGTCTATTTATAGTACTTGTAGTCTTATAAATGGTATGACTCCAAGCCCCATGCACTATAAAACTACAATTTAATAAATAACAATTAGAGATTAGTAGTCTGTCGAAAGTTATATTATCAGCATTCAGTTTAAAAATTGTGCCAACTAATGAAGCTTGTGAACATGAGGGAGTCTGAATAACTTAAATTCTTAATCTGTGATTTATTACAAAGAAAGTTCTGCTAACTTGTGATGTCTCACCTCCTTAAGCCCTATGAGACGAATTGTAATTTATAAATATGGGTAATATAAATAACATTTGATTGATTATCACTTTCAGAACTAATCATGTGTTTCGAAGACAATGTGTCCAATAGATTATGTAGAAACATTGATAGTTTATTTGCATATACTTCCTAGTTTATTACATTATGGTTAAAAATACACCAGAAATCCTTGTTTCTGTTATGAGAAAAGTTCCCTGAGGCCACAATGGTCATCACCTCGGC